ATAAGAGTAATAATTTGTGTTTACCTACCTGGTGGAAACTACTTTATTATAAATAGCTATAGTAATATAATAGACAAGAGAACAGACTAATAGGACTACCTTTCAAATGCTCTATTTGGTATTCAGAGGGATCCAAAGAGACTACCTTTACTAGAAATAAAATTCTGAAAAAAAAATTTGGTGACTGCTAAAATTTAGACTATTCTACCTTCTAGTAAAACTATCCACCTAAACCAATGTTTTCAGGCTGACGTATTAGTTGCTGTCCTTTGTTAGTTTTTATTCATCTTTCCACAAAATATTTTATGGACACCTAGCCCCATAAAGAAGGAAATGATACCTGGAGATCCCAGGGCTTATAGTCTCGGAATCCAATGACTGGGTGCTCCTCTAGAGCCTCATCTTTAACAATTTTATTACTCAAAGTTTATTACTTACAAAAATTTTATATTGTATTTTAAATCTTTCATATTTATAAATTATAATTTTAGCTCAAATACTCTTGCAAACATGGATCTCCAGAAGAATCCTCTTTGTTAATGAGACTGTAACAAAGGAAGTCTGGGATAGTGGTGCACACTTTTGTTAGCAATCTTATTCTCCTTAATCATTTTTCCCTTCCTACTATCAAACATATTGTTTAGCTGCTATTTGTTCTTCTCTGAAGCTATTTCACTGGATTCCCACACGTGGGTCTTGAATTTCTAGTGGGATACAGGAGGAAATTCTCATAGCCCTTTAGGTTCCTCGCCCCCGCCCTAAAGTATTTGCCAGCACACCTTACACACAGACCAAATCCCACTAAGTTTTCTCTATCTGAAAGCATAAGCATGAAGAAACTCCACTGAGCAACTCACCTTTAGGTAGGCCCCATGCAAGTGGCCTGGATGATCACATCTACAGGTTATTCTTACAGACATGGTTGTGAATGTTAACCACCATTGTAAAATGCTGAGTAAATGCCACATTGTGCTAGCTTGTCAGAAAGAGAATCATATCTCAATAAGGCACCTACTTATTTTCTTGTGCGGTACTCTGATATATCAGTGAATGGTGGATGTCTATAGTACCTTATTCCTCCAGACACTGGCTCTTTAACATATAAAACATTGCAAAGGTAGGGAGAGTTTTTGAAACAAACAAACAAAAAATCCATCTATCCCAACACCCTAAGAAAAAGAAAGACTCAGAACTAAGACCCCCTTATATCCACATGGAGCTTTAAGTACTTCATGTTTTTCATACTAATCTCTTCAAAAACTGTACTATTACACCTGTAGCCCCAGATCTGCATATACGCTTAATTTCATACACTCTGCAAATGCAGAATTAAGAATGTGTGCAAGTCTCTGCAGGATTGGGAACCTAAAGCAGAGTATCTGATAATTGCTGTCTTTGTTGCAATTTTTAAAGATAAAAAGGTGAGTATGATAAAAGGGAATGGCCATTATAAAATGTATGTAAGTTCCTAAACATTTATATTAAACCACAAGCATGGCATTTTTGGAGCACTTATTGTCACATCTATGCAGTGGTAGTTGCCAGGGTCAGCTTTTACACTCTGGATGAAGGGTATGCTTTTGGAAGAGAACCACAGTGTGATTTGGGTAGGTATTAATAAAACAGTCCATATTACACTTTAGAGAGACTATTACCTGAGAAGATTCAAGCGTAAATGTGATTTGTAGTGGAATCTAAGTTTTAATTCTCTATCTCCTTTTAAATAAATTTGTTTCAGATGCACGTTACATAAGTTTGATGTTTTTGCTTTATTTTGGACAGGAGTGCTAAAATAGTTCTGTTTTTATGGGTGTAGAGAGATCTATACAATATTTTCCAAATAAAACAGGATAGAATATATATGTTGCCTTACAGTTGGAACCCAGAGCATCCAAATTCATTTTTTCCCCCTTGTACTCACTGCCGCCGCCACCTCCTCCTCCCTCCCTTCCTCCAATAGGTATGATTAAGGATTTCAAACTGGTCCCAAACTGTTACAGAATATTTGGTAAGTTACATTATCATCAGTTTTCACCCGCACCTTAATTCTTCATGATCATTTAAATTATGTTCATTGCATGAATTTTTTAAATCAACAACCCCTTTAGTATGGTCAGTCTTTCACCTCCATCCATCATCCTGACCAAATGCTGAAGTTCACCATAGTGTGCAAACAACATTCCCAGGACTAATATGCAATTCATGCCAGCTGCTGAGAGGTCCATGCAAGTAAAGACAATATGCATGCTGTGTCTCTTTGTATAGACAATGGCAGCTCTGCTCACCTATGAATAGACTGTAGCCCAACCAACCCATATTATGAATTTGAGTATTAGAAACTGGACTGTCATGCAGAGAGTCTAGAAACATGATTTTTTATCCAAAGGAAATACAGTGTTGGAGAGTTACTTTAGGAAAGTTGTTCAACAGAAAGAATAGTTGCTAACCTTACATTAACATGGTTCTTAGAGATATGTTGCCCACATGGATTCCATGACCCACCCTCCTTCCCTGCCACTACAGAGTCCTACGCCTTTGGGATTCTGTATGGCTAAAGGAAGAACTGAGGGACAGTTGGGCCCATTCTGCACTCAAATAGGGAGGCCCAGCTCCAACAGACATTGCTGACCTAAAAAAGTATGCAGCCTAAGAGTGACCATATGGACAACACATCTCAGAGAACCACTTTTACCATAAAGAGAATGGTGAGAAATGGGAGTACTACTTAGACTACAGAACAGCCCTACCAGAATATTGTCTTGAAAAGGTGTGGACCAAGCTCTACATAGCTGATCTAGATTTCAGAAATAAGGACATCTGCCAAACAGACAGTAGAGGCTGACGGAGCTCCAGTGGAAAGTGCTGATGTGGTTAGATGGATCACACCCGGCTAACTCATATGTTCTTATGCAGTTGATCGGTTTCAATAATTTATGTTACCGCCTGATCCTTAACCCTTTCAGCAAATGAATGCCAGTGTGTTCCTGAATGATTTTGTCCTGTTACAGTATCATAATACTCTTAAACATCACATATTTGATGTAGTAACTTTCCCCACAGTTGGGTGAAGCTTGAAGAAGACTAGATGAATGAATTGGCTCATATGGAACTCAAACAATTTTGGGCAAGTACTTGGCACTAACCCTGTCCTTATTATACACTGTATAAGGGGGACTGCCATGAGGGCCCAATTCTCCCCTACCCTTCAAATTGTTGCAACAGCTGCCAAAAAGCCAATCTTCACTGGTAAAGGGAGCAAGTGAGCAAGTTTCTAAGGGCTCCAACAGAAGGATTCATCAACCTTGTTAATATTACTCTGAAGTCACAAGAGGATCAGGAAAAAAAAATTCATTAGTGAAATAAAGCACCTAGATTAGTACCTCATGGAGAAAAACAAGCATGTCTAAATTAAGAATAAAATGAGTTTTTAAAATCAATGGTTTATACAATTCTCTGAAAACTGAGAACTACTGAATGTAATTTACATAGGCTTTGAAAGAGGTTTTGATAAAGTCTCTCATAAGAGCTCAAGAAAATAGTTACCTCAGGGCATTCCTTAAGTATTGAAAAAGTGATTTCTCCCATATTCCTGTAAATGTTTAAGGGAAGAAGCATCACCACCTCTTTACCCTTCTCCTGGTCACAGCCCTATCTTCCCTCCAGCCAAATTCATGCCACACAGAGTATTCACGCACCTTCAATTATAGTCTTCTACTGTCCAAGGTAACTCTTTCAGGAACTACTCTTCAATCCCTGCAAGGCTGCTACCTCCCCAAATAACTTCTTAGATTGCTCCTTCTCCCTCCTCAAATTGCTCATAGATATGACCATACAGCTGCTGTCTCCTCCTGGAAACACTGGTAACCATTTTTAATAGCTGCGTAGCACACAGTTATAAGAGTATTATTTGTATTACTAATGTTTTTTAACTGTAATGTAGGCAGAAATGGAGGTGTTAATACTGCAACAGATAAACATAGCTGACAAAGTGTAATTGGACTTAGTAGGTTTTAACACAGAAAGGACATAGGAAGAAGCTGCTCAGAACAGCAGCGGTTTGTGAGACGACCACAGCCTTGCACAGTAGAACCAGGGGTGGGTAAAGTATGCTACTCATCAGCTGAACATTCCTCCCTCTACATAGGACATTGTTAGCTGTGAGCAACTGGTGAGAGAAGCAGGGTGTCAAGCAATTCCTCTCCGAGACCTCTGTGGCTGACTGGCCAGTTGCTGAGTCAGAAAAAAGGTGTCTTTATTCAGCCAAGATTCAACCAGCTCGACTCCACTCCAGAATGGGACTCTGCTGCCTAGGGCTCTTGGGAACTGCAGGGCTGGCTGGACAGCACAGTGACCTCAGGCTGAATTTAAACCACAGGGTGAGGGGTGATGGTCTGTTATGGTTTAAAAATGTGTCTGAGGTAGGAAAAGAACATGACTAAATAGGTTAATGCAAGAGCAGACAAAGAATCAATACATATTAACTAATTTGTAAGTGAAGATACGGCAAATGAGTGAATTTGGGGATCAGATTTAGGTTAGCTTGAGAGGAACTCCTTAAGATCCAACACTAATTAAGCAACACGATTGCATTTTCTTTGTATAGACAAGTGCAAGATAATGCTATGGTTTCAGTTAAAGAAACAATTCAAAATTCGTTAATGGGTATAAGCAACTCGGTTGTAATTTCTAAGGGGAAAAAAAATCTACAAGTCATCATGGACAGAAGCAGTAAATACAAGTCTTTTCTTACCTAATTAGTATGTCAACAAGCAATACTCTTTAGAATCTTGTAAACATTGACCGGCAGGCTTGAATTACAGCTGAACTAGCAAGTTACTGCACTGAATATGCAATTGGCAGCCCCACTGGGATATAGGTGAGCAATGTTACGTATTTAGTTTGGATTGCTACATTCCCTTCAATGTATTTAGGACTGTATTTGCAGGCTGGACACCTCTGTAAATCTCCATTCTTATGAAAAGATGACAGGACAGCTCATGTAGAGATAATATTTCCGAAGCAGCATTTTATTTTATTCATTTAATTCCAAAACATTAAATTTAGAAGTCTGGCATCTCAGAGAGTCATCCATCTTAACATGGGCTAACACTGACATGGCGCTGTCAGAATACACAGACAACTAAACAGCCAAAGAGTTTACAAAAAATAAATTCATGATTTTTCAAAACAACTGCAAAAAAGGTTACAAGTATCAAAACTTTTAAGTAGATGCCATTGCATTAAATGAAAGTCTGTGCACATCATAAGTTAAAGAGGCAAAAAACAAATTGCTACCAAAACCTCACATTCTGAACAGTTTGTAAACTGATAAATAGAATTAAGTTGTCACTTCACATCAGCTTTTTAACTGTTTTCATCGGTTGAAAAAGTTTTCAGGGTGGCTAATTTGCTTTGCATGCACAAGATGTACTGCTCAACAAAACATTATCAGCTTGTTTCAAATGGAAAATTTAAGATTAGACTTCTGATTAATTTACTTTCCATTATTCTTGCCCATACTTGATAATCAATAGGCAAACTAAAATGCCTCTTTAATATGCATCTTTCTGCACCATTCAAGTGCAACTATGATAAACAGGGCAGATCAATCAATCAATCCAGCAATGCTCATGAAGACTTATCCAAAACTGCCTCCTGATAAAGTGGACTGCAGATCTGAACAGCTGTGCCGACAATACAGATATGCTTAGCACTAGATATTTAGTGAGACTGTGGCAAGGAAATATTGTGGGATGGTTCTAATGGGGATGGTGGAGTGGATGATGAAGGGCTGGGATGAAAGCTCTTTAGTTATTGCCCTCTCCTGCTTCCTCATCCTGCTGGTCACTTGTCCAGAGAGTGAGGTTGTCTCGAAGTAACTGCATGATAAGTGTGGAGTCCTTGTAGGAATCCTCATTTAGTGTGTCCAGCTCAGCTATGGCATCATCAAAGGCTTGTTTGGCTAACAGGCAGGCCTGCTCAGGTGCATTCTGGATTTCATAGTAGAACACTGAGAAGTTGAGTGCCAACCCAAGCCTTATCGGGTGAGTGGGCTGCATGTGCTCTTTGCTGATTTCAAAAGCCTCTTTATAGGCAGCCTCTGAAGCTTCCACAACACTGTTCTTCTTCTCACCAGCAGCAACTTCTGCCAAATAGCGGTAGTAATCTCCTTTCATTTTCAGATAAAAGACTTTGCTCTCATACTGGAAGTCATTGCAGTTCTTGATCAAGAACTTATCTAAGAGGGCCAAAACATCATTGCAGACTGTCTCCAGCTCTTTTTCGATCTTCTCCCTGTATGCTTTAACTTTTTCCAGCTTCTTCTCATTCCCATCCGCCATAGTTTTCTGCTCTATGCTGCTGATGACTCGCCAGGAAGATCGTCTAGCCCCAACAACATTCTTGTAGGCTACAGACAGCAGGTTTCTATCTTCATTGGAGAGGGGCTCATTCAGCTCAGTCACCTGCAAATATACACAAAAAGATCAACTTAAAATAGCTTGGCTTTGAGGAAGAAGAGAATGCAATCATCATTCAATATTTCCATCATACCAACTTAGAAACTGCAAGGGGAAAAAATTCCTTCTAGACAGGATGACGTTCTTGTTCACTTTAACTGAAATTGAAGACCTGAGTGCAAGTCAATTCCTTTAAGAAAATTCATATTTCACTTTAAATTTTACCATGCCATCTTCCTAAGGTATTTGTAAATATTTATACTACACTTTTAAGTCTCACCAAGGAGACTTACGAACAGCCACTGAACAGTGTGCATCTAACTGGCAAGATGCAGAAGTATTCAGAGGAAGACAACTGATTTGGAAAGTCTTTCCAAAAAGGCAAATACACTACACACTTTTCCTATTGAATTCAAATGTGTTATATTGCCCAATAGCCTAGTGGCAGTACAGGGCAGTGCCAGACAATTCAGTTCCTCTCCATATTCAACCCTACTGTGGGGTCCAAGGTGCATGCTGAAGAGACAGTATGCTCAGTCACTGGAGGAGAACTGGGTTGTACTGCTCCACAACACGTCCTTCACAACACGTCCTTCACTGCACCTTTGGGACTGTAATTCACACAATCCGATTAAAATTTCTCCTGTTTTCAGCTAAAATGGTGGTTGCAACCCAGGATTTCAAAGCTGGGCAAGGGAAGAAATTATATAAAATGGAGTAGATTGGAAGGTTCAAAAGATAGAGGAATATTCCTTGGGAGTAAGGTAAAAACACATATTGCAATAATTACATAATGAATTGTTACAACTTTTATACAGACTCATGAAGCTTCAGTAATATTTTTAAATATCGCATATTTATAATACATTTGATTCATTGCACTCTACTATAGTTTGTGAAGAAAGTTTCTAGACTATAGATTAGGATAAGTTCTATTTTAGCAAACAATTGGAGGTTTTAAGTTGGGGGTGATTCTTGGTGAATGCAAGTGCTTTGACTTATCTGAGTCTACAATACTAAGCATACTTCATTAGCAACACCATATTAAAAATGTGTGACAACTGTGGAAAAAAAAATAATGTGGCAAAGGAAATCGTTGCTTCCCATTGCCAATGAGATGAAGCCAAAATGATTTCATAACTATTAAAAGAAATTTGTATATTTACACTGCAATACACAGGCATACTACAAAAATAATGAAATCAGACATTTAAATTTCTCCTCGCCAAATTCAAGAGGATAACTTCTATTTCTAGAGTACTGCAGTAACCCATAAACTATTCAAGAATGGTGTCTAATTTTTCAGATATAAAATAGTTCATCTTAATGAAGAATTAGAATTCTAAATGTGGTGCAACCATTATTGCCATGAGAACCTCTGTAGAGACAGTAATTAACTTCTTTAGTATTTGCTTGCTACCCATTCCTCCATAATGCACTGCTTCTACAGCTCAGTGACTCAAAATCTAAGAGTATGATAGGGAGCAGCATTTTCCAAAGCAACCCATGGAAAGCTAGGTTCCCAAGAACCAGCTACAGTCCTCTGTGATGACATCTTCATTTAAAGAGACAATTTGAATGATAACCAAAGCAAACTATTTGTCATCCTTGCTATTTAGAGAAACTATACACCATCTTTAGCCTCAGTTCATTGTATCTATAGCATATTTCTTAAAGCTAACGTAACCCATCAGCTGTCCAACTTCTTTCCATGCCCATGCTTCTCATGCTCCTGCCTTTATCTCTCCCTCCCGCTTAGTTTCTCTCTACTTTCCAAGCCCTTTCTTTCTACTTCAAACTTAAGCATCCCTAATTCCCCACAACTGTGTGCATAATGAAAATTTTAAAAATGTGAAAGTTGAAAATAAAGTGCATTATAACACGTGGATACTGGACAGCAAATTAGTACATATTAATTACAAAGCCATTTGACAAAAAAAATAACTGAAGAACTCTCCCTCTCCAATCACAACAGAAACTCAAGTTATGTACATACCCTCCCTTAAGCAAAAGGATGAGTAACTAGAATACTTAGGGGACTGGTGTAAAAGTCAGACTGATGATCAGACCAACACAGGAAAGCTCGTAGCATCAAAAGACCTCAACTGAGAACACCTTCCTCCAAACCCCTGACAACTAACAATCTTTAAAACTGAATTAAGTGTCTCAGCGGATCTTAATTTGCACATAAAGCATCAGTCTACACAACAGCCAGGATCCAAACCACACATGGTTTTATAGATCAAAATGAACACAATTTATTATACCTACAAGAAAAATAGTAGGCTGTGAAATTTCCAGAACACAGGTCTAACATGCTCCACACAAGAAGCACCAGTTAGTGAGCCACTAGATTCTGCATCACCTGAAGCTCCAAAAAGGTGTTTAGGAGCACAAACAAGTCACAGGCATGAGGCTAAATGGAGCATGTATTACACAAGAGGAAGGTTGCACCTTCCTTACCAGAGGCACCTGTGAGGAAAACAAAAACAAACCAAAAAACCACATTATCCAGGATCCTATCACAGATAGGCACCTAATGGATTTGATTAAAAGACAGAACTGGGTTTCACCAGCACATATGGCTACATAGCTCAAACAGTCTTACTATTTCTCCTAGTGGCCTATTATGTACTGACCAGGAAGAACTGAGAACAGAATCCAGTGGTATACCACATAAGCAGCAAGCTCAAGGCAAATAAGAAGTTTCCTCAACACCACACTCCGGAGATCTCTTAAGTCATTTCTGCAAGCAGGTCAACTGGAACAGAGGCTGCTGAAAGATACAGAAGCAGCAGTATGGACATCCAATTCATATCCATCGCTATAATGCTACTAAGCAAGGAGACCAGCAGTGTCTTTTATCATACTCCAATGCCAGATTAAGTGAGGGGTTTCAGAGGAAATCAGAAGATTTTGTTCTGCCATACATACATTTCAAGAATTTTTTTCCTATTAAAGGAAATCCAAGAACAGCTTGGTAACTTTAACATTCCAAAAATAGTATGACAAATAGGGCTTGCTTTCCACACAGCTGTTCTATAGATACAGTCCCTTTGCAAATCCATACTGGGGAAGTCATGTGGCAAAACATGCAATTCCCACAGTGAGTGCAAAGCCAGGGTCATGAAGGATAATTAGCATTCAAGTTGAAGGAAGCAAATACCTTGTCTTCTTGTAAAAAAGATATTAAAAAGGTGATAAAACCCTAAAAATCGTTGTGGGTACTTTTTTGCTGCTTTATGATTTATTAAGGTAGCCTGAAAGGGAAGGTGTTTTTATTAAAAGATTCATTCTGACCCTTTTTTTCCTTTTTAAAATGTTAGACGTTTTCTGCCCTTGGAAGACTACAGATGGTGGAACAAGAAATAGGATTTTAAGATTGCAAGTATCAAGGAAGTGAAACCTGATTAACTCAGTTATTTTTATTCTTAGTTCAAAACTGTTAACATCTGTTTTCTCTCAAATATTGTACTTAGAGATCACTATCAAGGATTCAGCACCAATTCCTTTAATTAAGGGAAGAGAGAACTTTCAGAATACATCTGAAACCTGCAGAGTGTGTGAGAGAGAATGAGAGCTTTCAGGCTGTCTTTATACATCAAAGAAACAAAAAAAGTACAAAAAAGAAGTTTCCATTTTTTTTGCAGGGTACCTTTAACTATCTCACCCAGTAGTGGTCCCAACACCACTTCCCATTTGCCTTTATCAGACATGAGAGGTATGGAATTTTGTAGGCTGTATGCTGAAGCTATCTATGCATCACCATGAATCTTCAACCTGGAATCATATTCTGAAAATATTTTTAGATGAGGAATCCATAAAAGAGAAAACAACAAACCCACACCATTCCCAAATCTATGTGTTCCCTGCTCCCCACACCCCCTCACCACAGGGTTATAATCAGATTAGTTTCATGTAGAAACTGACACTGACATGATTACCTTCAAAAATAGGCAGTGGCACATTCACTTCTGTACACAATTGTGACTACAATACAGTATGTGGTACATACAGCGCCTTAAACTCAGTGTAGAATTATAGTGACTATACACTGTTAAATCTCAACAGTTTTGGAAAGATCTGTTTTTCATCAAGGGCTGCCTGGGTGGAGTAAAACTCCACTGTAACCTCAGCTCTTTGGCCTGTCAGTTGTACAACTGAGGAAAAGGGGCTCAAGATCTGCAACTCAGCAGCAGCTCATGCTAGGAGGAGGCTATTCAGTGTACTGTTATTTCAGCACTGCTCTTGTTCTGCTCATGGCAGGAGTGCTCTACAGTGTTTCTCAATCTTTTTGATTCCAGGGACCAGTTTGCTGCCTTCCTAAACTATGTAAGGGAAATCTCAGGGACTGGCACTAGTCTATGAAGCAGTCCTTGAGAAACACTGCTCTACACTTTCTGAAGAAGCACTCCCTGCCTTCCCGTGATCAACTGATGGGTACCCCTCCTTTCTAATGTAATCCTTGCCCTATGTCCCAGAACATCACTTTTTTCTGTCCATTTTTTTTCCCTGCCCAGTTTTCTTCTCATTTGTGTTTTTGGAAGGGGTTTTTTACACTATTTTATTGTTCACTCACTCTTGCAGGTAGCCTTCTAAATGAATGGACAGCACTTTGGATGGGTGGGTATCTAACAGGAGTCTCAAGGTTCCAAATCACATTACTCCTGTAGTTTGCTTCAGTGAGAGAAGCAGGGTGTTGCAGGCCTGCACATTTAAGCTTCTTCAGTGGCCAACTGCATTAGGGTATACTGCAGGAGAAGAAATGGAAGGCAGGTGGCTGTCAAGGAGTCACCTCCTGCTTTACCCACTGCAGGAATAAATTTCCGTTGGTGATGGATGATACACATTTTGATGTAATGGAGAGGTCCATGGCAATGCAGACAGCTTCTCAACCCCACCATCTCCCACACATGGTTGAAAAACATTGGCTTGAAGGACAGAAGGCAGCTTCTCTTCCCCTATATCCATCACTTGCTGGAGGTGGAGGGCTCTTGGGCTTGGCAGTTGGTAAACTTTACCTATTACCTGATGGTCAACAAAAAGCATGCTCTCACATTACTATGGTACAAGCCACAACAGTGCTAGGAATATGAAAAAGAGCCACTGGGGGTGTGTCTTCATGCAGTTAACTCAGGCTCTTATTCAGGTGTTGCCCTTAACCCCCCTCCCATCCACATAAGATTGGAAATTTGACCAATCCAAAATTAAATGGTCAATTGCCCAGTCAACCTTGGTCAGATAATGTCAAAAATGGTCAAATATTTTCAAGCACTAGTTTATTAGAACAATAACAAAAGGAATAAGACTTTATGGTCCCCAATAAGATTAGCCTCAGATAGATAGTAGTTATACCTCATTTACAAAAAACAAGTTACTTAATGGAGTTATTTTAACTCAGAAAAATGCAAAACAATAAAATTCTAACACACTCCCCCCAGCTGGCCTGTCTGGGAGCATAGATTAAAGTACAGGTGCCGATTTAACTCAGGCTGGTAACTGCCCCACTGTGCAGTGCTGACGTCGACTAAATCATGAGTACTGACAGTTCTCTAATGTCTTCCTACAATTTGACACCCTTCTCCCCAGGTCTGACCAACTGGGCACCCAAGTTCTCCCACAATGAACTCAGAAAGATTCAGAGAGGCTCAGTTTACCATACCATAAAGAACATGGGCTACGAGTCATATCATATGACCCCAAAAGTCCTAGAGAAACACAGGTGACAGGCAGCATCAGTGAGAACACAGTAACCTGGGTATGGCTTTGCAGTGTGACTGCTCACATCTGGGCAAGGCTAACTTGGAAGCCAACCTCATGAGTTAATTCTGTATTGAAAACATACCCTTAGTATCAAACCAGCACAAAGCACTAGACAGTCTTGCAGCAGGCAGGGGTAGCACTTAGATCAAAAGCATCCCTGCTTCTCCACACACACAGTACTACCAAAAAGGGACAATCACTGGAAAGAGAAAAGAGCCAGACGATGTAATACTGAAAGTGCAAATCTGTCAAAATTCTTTAACACCTTATATGAAAAAGGAAATTTCAACAGCTCCCTAAAAATTAAGTTAGAGCCCTATTATACATATAAAGAAATAAAAATAATATAACTGAAAATGGTGTGCATACCATATTAATTAATGTTATATATTTTCTTTCCTTCTGCAGTGAGCCTTGGCAAGGAGTTCAGTACGCCACATATCACACAAGTATTACTCAAGATTACTTCCTCTCAAATTAATAATTCAGTTCTACTTACACTAATTTGAAATGAGTAAGTTATTAGATATGGTCACTATGTTGCTACATTAAATAGCAATACACACTAATCAAAATCTGAGCAAAATGCACAGGAATTCATATATTTTCAGTTCTACAGCTCATGGTGTATATAGCAGAATAGCTTAACTCCTTTTTGCTATTAGTCAATATTTCATACCATTTCTGAAATTCATTTGAACCAAGTAGCATTTAATGCAATATTGCTTCTTCACATAATTGTTCAAACATCACAAACATGTGAAGTGCCATACTTAAAGTAAATAAAAATATGCTTTTAGTATATCTGTTTTTTCACAGCTATGGCCTGTTCCTGTTCTCTGTATAATAATTAAAAACATCAATACGCAAGTCCAGCACAAGAAGTAATGTTAGTTTGCTGGAGCCCTAAAGAAGGGTTTAATTAAATGAATGTACCACACCCCTTGGCAAAATGCCATTTTACAGAGGTACATTTGACTGGCGGGAACTTTAGGGTTCTGAAAGAAACCAAACTCACTGTATGTCACACCGCAGTCTTATCTTCCTCTCCTGCTACTCATCATGGTAGGTGGGAAAAGGCTGGCATTCAGCCAAGAAGAAAAACTCAACAGCAGTTAATGATTGTACTATTACTTTAACAAATATACAGTATTTCCTATAAGGTTTAAATTATTAGAATTTCTACATCAACTAGCTTTTTATAAAACGACCATTAACTTGAAACATACTGCTAAAGTCTTTAGTCTATTTGGGAGAAAATGTGGGATGCATTTCTCCCACTATACACAAGTGTTTTTGCACCCTCATATCAATAAATGTCTTAGTTTAAGACTATTCACATATCAGTTTACATTTGTGTGTGTAACTGTCAGATAGCAAATATTTCCCTCTGTAAATTAGTTTTTTTACGGGGGTAGGGCTACTTTAAATGATAGAAGCTTTTTGTTTAGGTTATATGTACTGAAATTAGAGGAAACACTAGTTGTGTGTAATTGTAAGAGCCCACATAACACATTGCCTTTCGTATAAAAGTGTAAGCTCCCACTCTTTCCCAAAATGTACAAGGATGTTCTAGAAGTTGCATCATGTTTTAGAATGAAAACCTGCAAAAAAGTATCCAGCTAACCAACATTTTATTAAAAATATATTTGGAGAAACTGGAGTTAACTATTTTTGTATTCAAGGAATAACTACAGTTTTCATCATTTGTAATAGGTGGAAACATTTTAACTTCAATTTTGGGTATGTTTATAATAGTTTATGTGAGGTATACATTAAAGAAGCAATTAGCACCTTTGTCAAAATTCAGTGCATTGAGCCAAATACTGACATTGCAGCCCTAGAGGAACTGCATTGTCATATGCATTATTGGAGGGTAAAGGAAATACGGTAAGCAAAGGCAAATGATTTTGAAGGAAGATGGAATGATAAAAAAATAGCAAAATATTTTTAAATGTAAAATGGTCTATTAGACAAACCCTAATTATCTGCAACATTTCCTGAAAGATGGTAGCTCTACTGCTTTTGTTTTCTAATTTCATGCATTCCAATATTTGAATAGGAAATTTTAAATAGTAAAAATATTTCAGCTGTCATTTTTATATTCCTAAATGTATCCCAATTTTACAAAGTATTTCCTGGATCACCAATAGGCTTCACTAAAATCTGTATATAGGCTTGCCCAAGTAAGTATTTTTTAGAATGAGCAATGAAAGGTTTTTCTAAGGGTAGAGTCATTCCCACTTAAAGTATATTAAGGGCACTACTAGATTTGCTAATTGCTCACTTCAAACATAATAGCTCTGTTACAGACATATCCAAGAGTACTTTTGTGTAAGAATTCTATTAGCCATATAACAGGTTGTGCTGTACGAGACTACATACAAAGCAGACCATAAAAAACAGTACCAA